ATAGTTGTAGTTTTTGTCCTAGTGAATAGAAAATAAAAAGCTAGGTATTTTTATTTAGCTAATAAGATAGTCTATAAAATAAAATCGTAAAAAAAATTGTTAATTTTTGAAAAAAATCATGACTTTAGGTATCCTACGTTCTTAACAAAGATTTTAAAAAGCGCAAATGGATAATTTTCGTGATATTTAGTGTCACATAATAAAATTTGTATAAAATTGTTTTAGACATTTTGACAAAAAAAGCATTTAAATACAATATTTCGGCAAAAAATGAACTTAGAATAACCTTTTTTCAAAATGTTCTCCTTTCGTGAAAGCTGCTTCCATTATAATAATATTTTGCCTGTATATAGCTCAGACCTCTCTACAGAGGCTCAACTATGCTTTTTGAAAAGTTCACATTATTTTCAGAGTTACCACCAATTGAAATAGTTATCGGCGTTTTTGTCTTAAAATTTTTTCCCTCTGTTGTCGTAAAACATGGATAAACCCACTTCTAAGTTGTATATTTCAAAAATTCTAAGTGAGCCTATGTACAGAGGTATGCACTATATGCTGGCAAAATATTATAATAGAAGCAATTTTCAGAAAAGGAAAACATTTTGAAAGTTGGTCATTCTATGTTCATTTTTTGTCAAAATATTGTACTTAAATAATTTTTTATTGTAATACTATTCTTAAAACAATTTGATGTACAATTTTTTAATCTATGTGACACTAAATAACATAAATATTATCCATTTACACTCTTTTGCAAAATCACGGTTCCAAACGTAGTCGGATACCTTAATATAATTCTATCAACTATAGCTGCAAGTCCATTAAATTTTAGAATCTGTTTAATGAGACAGATGTACTCTATTGAACTTTTCTACAATTTTCCTTTCATTTTATCTCTATTTACTTTTTATAAAGATTTCATTTTTGCATGCGTTGATGATGTGGCTGTCCTAGTGAGAGAGTACGACTAACTTTTGGTCACTTATTCAATGGCTCGACAGCCCTGGATGGGCCCTGGTTATATTTTCGAGTGAGTGAGTGAATAATAACGTCGCACTGTTCAGCTAAACGAGGGCTTTTGGCGACGGACCACGTAATTTGGAACTATGGTCAAGAGACGTAGACGATACCTGAGCTGGCACACCCCCTCTCTTAACTATCACACTACACCAACGGGAGGACGTTTCGTCTCTCGACAGATTTAATGTGCATCGCTCACCTACGCGGTGGGTCTTTAGTTGTACTGGGCTCGAATTCGTGACAAGGCAAGCCACGGTCCGATACCTATACCACTAGGCTATCGCGGCTACTTCCGAAATGAGAAATGAAACATTACCAATATTCTCGGAAACTTCAATATTCTTTTACAGGGGTTGGCAACCTTGTTGCGATCATTTATGAAACCAATCGACCAATTTTGATTCAGGGAGCCATACAATAGGAAACGTTTGAAACTAATTCCCACGGCAATGCATGTGGAGTTGAGGGATTGAGGTCAAGAATACAGATTGAGAGTTTTACTTTGTTAATTATTCGTTATTTTTAAAAAAATAGTTCTTAACATAAAAAAAATAAAAACAAAATGTAACAATTCATTCACCCTAATAAAACTTTTTTAATTGCACGTGTATTTGGTATTGTGTATCTTTTAAACTTAATTATTTTTTATCTTAAAATAATTAATAAAAAATATAAATAGTCCTTCAATGTAGTTGTCACTACACCTCTCTATTTTAAATCGCAATATCAAGGGCATAATTTGTGACTTTATATTTCCATGGTTCTGAATGTTCAGTCCAGTCTGCAAAGGTGTTAAATAACTTCATTGCAGATTCTTATTTGAGGAAATATTTATTGATTTTTACACATGGATATGTGCTCTACTTTCAGTTATACATATAATTATGTCTTAAATATTAACCTGAAACGCTAAATGCTAACGCTTCTAAACATCTGGTGTCCATAAAACCTACTACTGACACAACATAAGCAAATTCCCATAGACAGACCTACATGACGGAATGGTAGTCTGTTAGTAAAGTTGTGCATCTGTTTCAGCAAGTGGCTGTTGCAACAAAAGGCTGAAAGATCTTAGCCGGTGTTTCTATCGAGTCATGGATTCAATGTAGAGCTACTGATGCTCGTTAAATCAGTCGAGGCTCCAAGTCCTCATGCTGGCGTGATACGAGAGTTTGGAGATATGGTTCAGTGATTATCAACTCTTTTGAGGATTTACATCAACTCCAGTTGGGGTGGGAAAAAACCCTGTTTATATATATCTCAGAAAGTCCACGGACCACGAAACTAATGGATTTAAAATCTCATTCAAAAATGGTGCTTGGTATATCACGCCGAATTTTCGTTTCCGAAGTGGGAAGTGATGGTTTTGAGAATTTTAAATGCGTAGGGATTGCAGAATCCATGAGAAATCCAACAGTAAATCTGCTTTATAATATATAGGTTAATTTTTAATTCAGTGGGTGCAGATGGGAATTCAAAGTATCGACCTTGGATTTCTAGCATTAAAATTATTACACTTGTCAGAAAAAAATAAAAGCCGTGCGTATCAACGGAACTCCTGGAAAACCTCACTAACAAAACCTGTGCCATGAGCATGTTAATCACAATTTTATCGATCATTTTATACTTGTATACCTCGGTTAAAGCACATTGCTATCAAGAGAAAGTTGTCGACCAATTCTGCGACACCATTCATCAATTGCTCATCCGACGATTTGCGTTTACAGCGAGGCATTTTGACTAATTCATTTTTCAATTTCTACTTTTAGTTCATACTCGTAGATAAATATAGATATGGAGAGAGAGATCGTTCAAATTTTTTCAATAGTTTATGAGATACTTTTATTCATCCACTCAAGTTCAAATACATATTTTAAAAATAGTAGTGGATGACGATGTTAATACAGTTTTTTCAAATATTAATTCATTAATTGAATTACAGTATTGAATAAATAGTAATAAACAAAACAAAAAAATAGTCCAACACCATATATAGAAAGGAAAATGGAAAATCGCTTTCTATTTTGTCACTTAATATTGAGATTCTGTCGTATGTACAGTCAGTCACAAAAGTCTACATACACCTATCAAAATAGGGTTATCTCTAAAACTGATTAAGTTTCAATTTGAAAAATTATATCGATCTTTCAATTTTAGCAAAAAAATATGCTTTTCACAATAAAAAAGTTCAGAAATAATAATTACTGGGAAATTTTGTGAAATGTGTAGCGATTGTCACGTCACAAAAGTCTGCATACACTCAATTGGCTGATAATAAGAATTTTGCATACAAATTTTTTTTCGAAGATCACCTTAGTTTGAGGTGACACGTATTGTTCTATATTCTAATCTTCGTTTTCCGCGATTTTTCAACATTGTAACTTCAACAAAATGAGCCAGGGAAAGGAAACATCTTTAGAACTTCGAAATCTGATCGTAAAGTTGAAAGGTGAAAATACATCTTATTCCGAAATTGCCAAAATTGTTAAAAAAAAGAACTCGGTCAACTGTGCAAACAATCTATAGAAATTACGTTATGCGTAGAAATGTGCTCAACAAATCTCGATGTGGTCGTCCACAGAAGCTTAGTGATCGTGATGCAAAAGCCATAGAAAGAAAAGTGTAGAAAAATCCGAAAATTAGTGCTCCAAAATTAGCGGATCAAATTGCAACAGCAAGTGGAAAGAAAGTACATCCAGAAACTGTTCGTAGAATTCTTCGATCAGGCGGCTACAATGGTAGAGTTTCCAGAAAGAAACCGTTCATCTCATCTGTGAACCAACAGAAGAGACTTGATTTTGCTTCTGCACACGTTGACAAGGATTTTGACTTTTGAAAAACAGTTGTATTCACCGATGAGAGCAAATTCAACGTGTTTGGAAGTGATGGCTGCGGAAAAGACTGGAGGAAAAAAAAACACAGCAATGAACCCCGAACGAAAAAATTGCAAGAAAAATATACGTGTGATACGGCCTTAAGGAAATAACAGCCTTACACAAACACCTCGCTACATGAGAAACGATCACATCCGCAAAGCATTAAAAATTAAAAACTTTAAATCTCATACACAACACATCGCTAAAAATTTCTTTGATTCTCTTCAGCACACTAATAACATAAACATGATTAATCTCCCTAATTATACCCCTGACATAAACTCTAAAAGACCAGGAAGAATACTTCTTGACTCGTATAATCCTCCTTAACTTTTCTAGTGCAATTTTTATTGCACATCTATTCAATATTTTTACAAGCTTTTATTTAACTTGCAATGCAAAATGTTCAGGGGGAATATTGCAACTCAATTTTGAAGCTGATGTCTGCAACCGATTGAGCTGAAATTTTGTATACTGGTTTAGTTTGGATGACAATGCATGTTTTGATCATTTATATTCTGAATATCGCAATTAGTTAAAAAGATATTAATTAAAGTAATTTGTTCGGGTGGAATCTTGCAACTCAGTTTTGAAGATGATGTCTTCAACTCATTGAGCTGAAATTTTGTATGCACGTTTAGTTTGGATGACAATGCATGTATTGACGATTTATATTCCGATATCGACCTAGTTACTGTAACGATGTTGTTCAGGTGTTAAAGCGAGCATGTTTACAATAACAAAGAAGATCGGAGGCGTAGCTCAGTTGGTGGAGCGCTCGTGCGCTTAGGATGCGAGATCACGCGCCTCCAATTATTATTTTTTCGTGTAAAATATTTTTGAAATTCGATTGATTTGTACAACGGGATATTTTACAATACTTCCACTCAGCATACGTACAAAGTATGTTAGATTTTTACTGTTGTAGAGGGAACGCTAAGAAAGGCAGATCTATCAAGCTATTTCTATTTACTTTGAAACATTCTGTGATATCTATTTACTCAATTCTAGTTTCTCCCGTAACACTTTTAATTGACCTAGTCAATGTAACGATCTTGTTCAGGTGTTAAGGTGAGCATATTTACAATAACACAAGTGTCGACCGGGAGCGTAGCTCAGATGGTAGAGCGCTCGCTCAGCATGCGAGAGGTACGGGGATTGATACTCCACGCCTCCGATTATTTCGTGTAAAACATTTTTGAAATTTGTTTGATTTGTACAACGAAATATTTTACAATACTTCCACTCAGCATGCGTTGCAATTAAAATGTTCGGGTGGAATCTTGCAACTCAATCTAGAAGCTGATGTCTTCAACCGGTTGAGCTGAAATTTTGTATACATGTTTAGTTTGGATGACAATGCATGTTTTGAACATTTATATTCCAATATCGCCGTTAGTTAAAAAGACTAGCAGCATGGCCCAGCGTTGCACGGCATTCTCTTCTTTTATAAGTTTTCCCTTTTCTTTACAAAATCAGCACTTCCAATGCTCTTTTTCAAAATGATTTCAACCCCCTCCTCCGCTTAGCCCTGCGTTGCTTGGGCTTTTACCGAGTGTATAACTTAAAATTCCATGTTTCGAAATTTTTTTGCTTCTTTTCTTAATCAGACACGTTTATACCCCCCAGCGTTGCACGAACATTTTTAAATGCATAACATATTGTCATGGAAATTCCCCTTCCCCTCTCGCTATTAGAGCTCTCGAGTAAGTGACCATTCACCGATTCTTAAGCAGCTTGACACGTGTAGCCATAAAGTGGTACAAAAAGTAATGAACTATTGCGTAAATTAAATTCATAAAAAAAAAGTTTTCGACATTTTACTTTTTAAATCTCTAACAGTAAAAGATCAAAGTATGAGTTTTTTTTTAAACTCCCTTCCATATAAATGCATCGATATTGATTAATTTTAGAAAAAATTATGAAATATGTAAAGTATCTTTGTTTTATAAAAAAAAAGAAAAAAAAAAACATACTGTATTGTGGCGAAATAAATTATCTTTCCAATTACAAAATTGCTGGCGAAGTTATTAAATACGCGAATAAAATTTTGAATATTTTTTTTAAAAAAAAATCATAAAAACTAAGCGATGATGTTGTTTCGAACTCGGATACAAAAGTTAATAATCCAGCGCTGTAACGGTCGTATTCTCAATAGCGAGTTAACCTCGAGTTATCCCCGAACCGGAGGTAAATCTCAGATTGGTGAAACATCATTATATATATATATATTCTCAACTTCGGATCGCGCCAAATCCACGGATTAACTCATCCAAAGGTAACCCGCCGATTTCGGAGGGTAACTCGCGGATTTGTAAACAAATATGGACGACCGCTTCGATTTTTTTCTGCTTGAGGATTTAGAAACATTGGAAAGTATTGAAAGAAGGCCAGTTTTCATTCCTTAACATAGAAACAACGTTAGCAGTTCAATACACTTTTTTTTTTTTCATGATTCAGCTAAAAATTACGTTTGATGTTATGATTTAATGTTATACAATGAGAATTCAAAACTCATATTTTAAAATTTCAATTTATATTTTGATTGTATACAAGTATATATATCCTAATTTCTTTTTCTTTTTTATTTAAAATTTTCCAGCAACCCTTTGTTAGGTTAAAATAGAATGTTTATTATGTATATAATCATTAAATTAAATAATTTCTAAAGTCTAATAATTATTCTCTTAATTCATTATTTCTATAAAATCTTAGAATGAAAAATCCAGTTTTTTTGTGAAGAATAAATTTGTTAATTGAATCTTAGGCCCCATTAAGTCACATTTATTTAAAACAGAACATATTACTGAATCTTTTCCAACTCCATCTATCAAAAATAATTTTACTATTGATATTAATCTGATTTCATTTGTCACAAAACAATATACATACGCATACATTTATCAATATTTTATAATATAGAACAAAACAAATTTTACATATACAAAATATTTACAATTTTTTAGAAAAGAATATTTTGGTAGAAAAATTCAAAACTAATTATTCCTAATGACATTTTTTAACATTTCACTTTACAAAAAAAAACCCATTTAATTAGCTATTATGGTAACTAATAGTAAGCAAATTAAAATAAAAATAATAAATATATTTTTTTTTAAAAAATTGAAATTATTCTGAAAACTTGCTAACGTACTTTGTATATTTTGAAAATAGGTATAATAAATTTTAGTGAAATTAAATTTCATTATAAAATATGACATATTCATACTTTTAAAAATCAAGCAAATAATAGAATAAATTTCAGTTTTAATAATAAATAGTGATAAAATGAAATCTGACTATTTAAATGACAATAAAGTTCATTTTCTTCAAAAACTAGAGACTTTTCTACGAGATAGCATGATAAGTCAGACGTTTCTTCCATTAGTTTCTGCTGCAATAAATAATAGAATTTAGAAAAATTACATAAATTCTATTATTTAGTATAATTTAAAATGCATACATTAGTATTGTGTTAATTTAATATTAAATTAATATGCCGCAACAGTTTTGAATGCATTAAATTTTTACCACACTACAAATTATTCCACTGAAATAAATCTTATTCATCGAAGAGAAATTTTGTAAGCTATTGCCTACTTTTACTAAATAACTTTACTTTTCTGTGTAAGTCCTTCATTATACATAAATTTTCATACTATGAAGGGGATTATACACAGTTTATAATTTAATGAGAAATCACAGTACATTTTCAAGTTTGAAACATTGTACACATTAAGGTATCCGACAACGTTCGGAACCTTGATTTTAAAAAAAGTGCATAAATGGATAATTTTCATGATACAATCACTTCCAAAAGTTAAGCACGTAGAGGAAAATGCTAATTTCCGGAAGCCAATCAGAGTTGAAGAGGATGCAATTCGCTGCAAAGGTATGGAAGTATGCAAATATGTTAGGTAATAGCCAATCGTGCTTTCATGTCAAGAAATATTTAAAAAGGGCAGTCTTATAAGAAGCCAGCTTCATGAAGGGTTACAGAAGTTGATTGTAAATGCTGATAGAAGGTGTTTAAAACTTTCTTGCAATTTGTTTTCAAGACATACGTGTTTCAATGACTTCCAGAAAACGAATGGAAGATTCTGAGCGCTGGCGTGCGGTGGGGCTTATTGAAGTAGGACAGTCGATCACAATTGTTGCTTTTTTCTTTGGCGTTCATCATTCTGTAATTTCACGTTTATGGAAACAATTCCAAACTACACAGACAGTTGTCCGAAGGCCCGTAGGCGATCTCCCAAGGGTTACAACCTCCGAGGAAGATCGATATATTGCTATTGTAGCCAAGCGGAATTGCATAGTGACCTCCACACGAGTGACATCTATGGTTACAGCGTCCATTGGTAAGGCTATATCTGCAGCTACTGTACGCCGAAGATTACATATGAATGGACTGTATGCCCGGGTACCTCGATTTTGTGTTTCTCTATCCGTCCAATCAAGAGGGGCACGATTAAAGTGGTACCGGGAACATGGCAATTGCACTGTGTCTGACTGGGGCAATGTCATGTTTACTGATGAGTCAAGATTTGTTCTGGAGCCAGATGATAATCGTATAAGGATATGGCGTAAACAAGGAACACGGAATCAGCCCCAAAACATCACCGAACATCATGCATTTCGACACGGAATCATTATGGTGTGGGCAGGGATTTCATTAGGATACCCCACCGACCTGCACATCTTTAAACGGGGTTCTGTGATGGCTGTCCGGTATTGAGATTAAGTCCTAGAACCCATTGTGAGATTGTACGCTGCTGCAGTTGGCCCTACTTTTGTTTAATTGGACGATAACGCACGTCCCCATAGATCTGACATCGTCGATGACTACCTGGAGAGTGAAGGGATTGCGCGTATGGCGTGGCCAGCATATTCGCCCGACCTTAATCCCATTGAAAATCTTTGGGATACTATTGGCCGTGCTGTATATTCACATTTCCCACCTCCAGCCACTCTTATTGAGCTATTGAGCTGGAAACTGCTCTACAAGAAGAATGGCGATTGCTTAATTCTGCAATGGTTGACCACCTAATTTAAAGCATGGTCAGAAGGTGTAAACTTTGCATACAGATGATGGGGGGAGGGGGATCACATACCCTATTAATGTCCTTTTTTTTCATTTCATGCTGTTTATTTTCACTTTATACATCATTCTGTTTAAGTCTCCAGTACGACATTATCTGATAACTTACAAAAATTTAATATTGTTTTCATTTCTGTAAATAATTATTGATTTTGTTTTATGTATAAATATATATCCTACTTTACTGCCAAATTTTGTGTCAATCAAAGCAGTATTTGTTGATTTTTTTTTTCTTTGCATTTTACATCTTCGTGCTTAACTTTTGGAAGTGAGTGTATTTAGTGTCACTTAGATTAGAATACATGTAAAAAATTGTCTTAAGGACACATTTTGACAAAAAAAAATATATTAAATAAAATATTTCAGCAAAAAATTGACTTAGAATAACCTATTTTCAAAATGTTCGCCTTTTGTGAAAAATGGCTTCTATTAAAATAATATTTTTCATGTATATAACTCAGATCTCTGTACAGAGGCTCAACTATGATTTTTGAAAAATTCACATTATTTTCAGACTTGCAACCATTTGAAATAATTATCGGCGTTTTTTTTTCTTAAAATTTCTCTCCTCTGTTGACGTGAAACACGGATAAACCCACTTCTAAGTTATATATTTCGAAAATTCTTGTTGAGCCTCTGTACAGAGGTCTGAGCTATATACAAGCAAAATATTATTATAATAGCAGCATTTTTCACAAAAAGAGACTATTTTGAAAATGGGTCATTCTATGTTCATTTTTCGTCAAAATATTGTACTTAAATAAGTTTTATTGTAATACTATTCTTAAAACAATTTTATATACATTTTCTAATCTAAGTGACACTAAATATCATAAATATTATTCATTTATATGCTTTTGCAAAATCACGGTTCCGAACGTAGTCGGATACCTTAAGCAATGATAATTACTTTAATACATAAATCCATAATTTTGGAAGTTAATTCTTTTTTAATCATTTTTAATTAGGTGTAATAATTTACATCTTCTCTTATGTATGTGCAAAAGATGTGCATGTCATCTTTGTTCTTTTAATGAAAAATACATACATTTTACACACAACATGAGTTATTTTCTTAC